ATCTGCGGATTGATGGGGAACTACACATCTCTTTAACCATAAAGCTAGAAAACCCGCCAGCAGAGCAGTAGAGCTAATCGGAACACCAGCTAGAGCGGAACTTAGTGCCATGCGAAAATCCGTCTTCTGAGCGCGAAGCATAAGATTGCGCGTTTGTTTTCTTTAACAGATGATTGATTTCGCCCGAATTCAAAGGAGACAACCCGCATACATCTGCCGAACGGTCATCCAAGTTCTTGAATAGATAATCAGCAAATTGTTTTAAGCTGACTTGAGGAGATTTCTTTCTGGCCTTGGGCTCCATCTCAGCCATGGCTATATGATAATGGCAGGTCAATTCCCATAAAATATCATGAGTCACAGTCGAGCTTTCTTTCATCTTGTTCAGTTGATTGGTGGTTGGAAAGAACTCTTGATAGGGAACATCGCCCATAGGCAAAGCAGATACTTGCATCATTTCATGCAGTGGTAGTCCAAGCTCCCCGTTCTTGGTAAAAAATGTATTAGTGTCCGGGTTGTAGATCTCGAACAAACAGAGGAAATGACCTACACTAATCTGCAGGCCATGCATGGTGGCGTTTCTCGAGGTAATCTTTTTCCTGCTGCCGCTAACCGGTTCTTCACGGTGTTGGCTTGCACTATCTTTTCATTCTGAGGTATATTATCTTGTCCCAAGATACCCGGATGAAGCCCCCGCACATGAGCTCTTTCACTGGAGCCTGGGTTGGCTTCCCTCCCAATAAAACCACAATGAATACGCTCGTGGTTTTCAGTCAACTTCCAGAACATCTCACGTCCAACCGATAGATTTCTGAACATTAATAGTGAGTGATCTCGAGGAATAAAAGGCAGATATAAGAATGAGGACTCATTCTGGTACAACCATTGCGCAGGCTGGCAGAAAGCAATCTTCGGATCTTTCACCGAATCACCAAACAAGAAATCCGGCTTCCTTATGCATTGATTCGAGTCTTGCTCCGAGATCAAAGGCGCATCTGTGATTAATCGTCGTAGAACACGACAACTACCTCGCTGGATTAATTCTCTATCACTTCCACTATAATCAGATTTAAACTGTGGAGATGATGCAATTAACGGAATTCCCTCATAATAAGAATGGGTCACGATACTCTGACCCGTAACCGCATCAGCAGTAAAGATGGAGGAAGGGAATCGAACTGATAAAAGAGGCATACACATAAATTGTGTAAGTGTCATCCTAAAATTTTAGAGAAAAGCGATATATCTTACTCTATAAGATATAGTCGTTATCTCACAACAGGTGTGACGATTTCCCACCTACCACATGTATAAAGGAGATATGCGGGCATTATAACGGCATACCAAAACCTTTCAATACATATGGGATGATGTAAAATCGCCCCTGTGTATTATGAAGTGTGTTTTGTCAAAGCAAAACAAACACTTTTAAGCGTCGATCCCCTCAAAGGAGGATACCGGCTCTTCTCGAAGGTACCTCAAAGGATACAAACGAGGATCTGCAAGCAAAAATAGGAACATACATATGGAATGGACGAAATACAATATTTAAATTCGTGAAAAGGTGAAAGAAATATACCTCCACGTGAGGGTGCAGCAGGGGCAGCCTCCTCGGGGCTCTGAACAGTCGGTCGGATTCCCTTTCCTCGAGTTCTACGCGGCGACATGATGAATATGCGATCTACAGTGAAAGCCGATGGAAAGTTAGGTTTTTTTTGAACGTAAAATTGAACAAAATATCAAGGCTTATCTCAGAAATAATGCATGCACAGTCACATGTTGCCGAAAGTCAAGATTTTGAAGAAAAGAGGGGAAACAGACCTTTCAAATCCAAATGAAATCTCTTCAAATCGAAGCACCACCCAAGTCAGAAACGAAGAGAAGAAGAAGAGGTGAAGAACTGGTCGAAAATCGCTCGAAAATCGCCCAAGAATCGCCTGAAAATCGCAAAAAAAGTCGACGTGAAAAAACCCTAAAACCCTAAGTCCCGATTTTTATAGCCTCTGCCTCGCTGAGCGAGACAGAAAACTCTGTCTCGCCGAGCGAGACAGATAATCCTGTCTCGCTGAGCGAGACAGAAAACTCTGTCTCGCTGAGCGAGACAGAAAATACTGTCTCGCCCAGCAAGACAGTAAACTCTTCTGTTTTGCTCCGTGAAACAGTAGATATTATCTGGGTCAAAAGCCAAATGCAATGCAGATGAATACTCCAATGGGTACACGAGTCTAAACTGTATTCCCACCCTCAACAGGAAGTTTCTGGAGAATATTAATCTGAATATTCTTAAGGATAACCTGAGGAATTCTCAATGGATATACCAATTCAATGGTAAACGCTGAATTCACAAGAGCAAGTATCAACTTCAATTCAAGATCTCGACAACGGTCAAGCGATAAACGCGACGCCGGGAGAACGTTAGCTATTCTACGAAGAACTGGATAGACTAACAGCAGAAGAGGTTAAACATTGAAGCCATTTACAAGTCCTTTCATACGATCTATTCAGCCAAGCATTGAAGGGATCGTAAGTAAAATCTATCTTATCCAAAGTATCCCATGCTCCTCTATAAAAGAATGAGTCTGGAATACTTTGGAGGGGGTATCTGTAGGCGTCAAAAAATGCTAATAGATATCCCAAGCATAGAGAAGATCACTCAAAAATTCACAAGAAAGGATTTCATACTGTTTTGGAAAAATCAAAACAAGTATGAACTGTCTCGCCAGCGAGACAGTCTTTGCTGTCTCGCCAGCGAGACAGTGTTGAAATAGTCAAAACTACATTTGTAACTGCCCTACACGTGTCCATTAACTGCCAAGGGACGTGGGAAACATCATGGGCGAAAATCACGTGGATAACTGCCAAAATAACGGAGTTTGAAACGTGGAAGAACAGTTACAGCGAGAAACTGCCATTTTCCGAGACAGCATTTACTGTCTCGCTGAGCGAGACAGCAAATTTACTGTCTCGCGGGTCGAGACAGCAAACGCTGTCTCGCCCAGCGAGACAGTAAACACTGTCTCGCCGTACTGACTTCTTCGATTGTTAAGTTTTTGCAGTTACTGACCCTTGAGGCTATAAATACCCCCCTAGGGTCACTTCTGACGAGGATCGAGCATTTGTTAGAGCATTCCAGAGCAGAGAGAGCAGAGATTTGAGTTCTTTTCTTGCAACGCCTTGAAATTAAGCTTCGACTTGATTTTAAGAAGAACGACTATCTTACTTCGATAAGATATCGTTTCAATTTCTACTTCGATAACGAAGTTAGAATCATAAGCCCCCTCTTCACGATCTGTGAATCGGCGGTCCACGAACCAAAGCGTTCCCGGCACAGGCAAAGTCCCACGAAAACGAGAATTGATAGACGATTTTCGTGTTTGTTTCTCAAGAGTTGTAATTTTTGTTTTGTTGTGTAGAAAAAGTCTTATAAAAAGATTATTCTTTCGAATTTGTTGTAATCGAACAAAGTTATAATGAATTCCACAGCAGCGACTTTTGAACCAAACAGTAACCACCGCCGCCATTGCTCCTGCACCCAAAGGTCGAAACCCTATGGTTTCCTAACGCTGCTGTCGCCGTCGTAGTCGAGAGCGAGGCCGCCAGCGACGCTGCGCTGGCGAGGAGCACGGGACCGATGACCAAAAAACCAAATAGATCCAAAATTTCTTGATTTTATTTCAAAAACAGATTCAGAATCGAAAAAAAAAATTCGTGATCCAGATCCAAGAAAAAATCGAAGAAAAATTCCAAAACGGTACTGTTCACGACGAATTTTTTACTGTTCATCCGAAAATAAAAACATAACTGTTCATCCGAACGTTACTGTTCATCCGAGAACAATTCTTAATCAAAACCAGAGATTTTAAGATCAAAAAACCCAATTTTTTAAGAACTTAAACCCCTAAGAATTAATCACATGTGGCTCTGATACCACTTGTTAGATCTTATAAAAAAAAACTTGAGATCTAAACCATAAAGCCATGATTAATTCAAAGAGATTTACAAGAATCAAAAGAAAAGAGCGGAAGCTTATACCTGAATCCATAGATTAAACTTGAGATGGGTTTTGGATCTTCTAACCTTAGGGTTTCTCTAGCCAAATTTTTCTCTAGATGGGTGTGAAGAGAATTAGAGAATGTAACCCTAGATTAGGGACCATAACCCCTTATTTATAGATGTTGTACATTTACAATTTGGCCCATCATCAAATCATAATTACAACCTGGTATCTACACACATAACCCCATGATTATATTTAAATACTCATTAACCCAAATTGATTGATCACTTTAGTGGGTTATCCCGAAGGATAGCAATACACCCAGATTAATCATATGTGCCCACAAATAGATTTAATTAGATTTAAATCCAACATTCTGAATTTTAATTACTGTGCGAACCAAGGATAGACAATTATATATTTGGTCGCCCCCTCCCATTTTGGAAAAAGAGAGAAGGAAAAAAGTGGTCAGGAGAGTTAGAAGGCATGTACCAGGGGAAACCAATGAAAATTTTATATGCTTATATTTTCTGTGGTTTAATCTTTGTTGTTCTATCTTAAGTTTGTTTGATATTAGTCCCTAAAATCATTACAAAATCACTCTAATCAAGAGTAGAAGAAGCAATCAAAGGGAAATTAGTTCCTCAAATCATTGAAAATTCTATTGGGTCCCCCAAGTTTTGGATTGATCCTCTTAACTGTTACTTCTATTCTTGATTTAAGAGACTAATTTTAAAATCACTTAAGAATTACGGGACTAGCGAGTCCAATAATAGAGACTAATTTTAAAATAACTTATAGGGGAGTATAAAAGCAATTGCAATAATTTGAGGACTCGTTTTAAAATAATAAAGATGCATGGGACTTATGTCAAAAAAACCCAGAAGTTTTTCCGGTCAAAACTCGAACTCAAACCCGCTGTCGTAGCGTTGCGGGTTCAAAAATTTTGGCTAAAAACATCCGAGTCACGAGGCAGCTTTATTAGGTAGCTGCTCCGCGGAGCACCAGACCCTCATCATTTCGATATCATAAACCCTAGCATTTTGCTTCCCTCTCAAAATTCGATAAAATTGATCGAAAATGCCACCGAATTCCTCTCTTCGATCGATCGCATAGCGAGTTTCGAGCTCGATCTTGGGTTTCTCTTCCTTAGCCTTCGATCTTTCAGAACGCTCGGGATCTCTGAAACCCTAAGGTGATCTCTTGATGTCCCTAAATTTATCGTTTCGTTCAGTTTATTTGGACGTTTTAGGCGTCAATGTGGTATTCGATCTCACATGCAAGCTGTTTACTTTGTTATCTCCTCTGACATTATCCACTTTCATCGTCCTGTAATTTCTTGAGAATATGTTCCCAAGTTTAGGAATTTAATGATAATTTTGTTATTTGAGTAGTAGCTAAGAAGTTAAAGATTCTATTTTTACTTTACAAAAGACGCATGCTTGCCTAATTGATGCTGGATTTTCTCAGAGTGATGTTATTATTATGATTATTATTATTTGAGAAAAAGGAAATCATATTCTTTGTAACTCCAGCACTTCTAGTGAGTATACAACTGTGACTCGCTTAGAACCTGCAAACATTTCATTTTTGGTGGCCCTTCAGTTTTTCGCAGAATAGATCTTCAAAATGAATAAAACTGAATAGTAAGTTGTTCATATTCATATTTGTTTACAATTTTCAAAATTTTCTATTTTTCTTTGAATTTCTTTGAGCCTGAATTCAGATACAAATATTCGTCAAATGTTAAAAATTTACAGGACAATAAACTATTTACTTAAGAAGATGTGTTTAAAGATTTACTTTCGTTTTTCAAAAGAATTAAAAAAATAAATTTAATTTCTATTTGAAAATTATGCCATTGTAATTATGATGAATGACCATGTAGTTTGAATGTTGTTAAAAGGACCGATTTGAGCATCTTAAGTCTCTCAGATTAGTATAGAATTTGAACTTAAAATTTAAGAAGGTCAAAACATAACTTCAAGTGTGTAACAATATAAATCGTAAGAAATCAAATTTTAAATGGATATTTGATAAGCAAATAAATCTTATATGTGAATGCTTATAGTTGATTTGTTTATATCTGAATACTAAACATTATTTGATTTATAATAAATCTTATATGTGAATGCTTATAGTTGATTTGTTTATATCTGAATACTAAACATTATTTGATTTATCTTAAATAATCTTCTGATCAAATTATAGTTGATTTGTTTATATCTGAATACTAAACATTATTTGATTTATCTTAAATAATCTTCTGATCAAATTTGAGCAGAGATTATTGGAAGTATGTGATAATTATTTGATCAACTTTTACCCTAGGTCCCTACCAGCGAAGTTCTACTAAATTTCTTTTGAAACTCTTCAAGTTTCTTTGCTCTTCTTTCTTTACTGTTGTAGGGTTTGAGCTTTGAGAATCAATGTCAAAGTAAGGGGGAATTTACAATTTTCATAATTGAAGAATTTTTAAGGATCACATGATTCTCCTTGAGTTGTGCTTTGATCCATTATTTTACTCTATTCCAAGGCTGAATTTGGCATTTTTTCCTTGTACTTATAATTATGTACATATGTTAATACATAAGTTTAGATTATTAGTTGATTTCAATCACCCTGTGCATTATTCCAAGTTCTCTGCACAACAATTGTAACATGAGTGTCCCTTCTCTCTGCAAAAGAATTTTGCACTCTTTCTCATTAGACAATCTGATATTTCATGCGCACTGAATTATTGCTTGGATTTAGGAAAATGGTGAACTTCTTTGGCATGAACTTTTTCAAAGGAAATAATGCTTTGTTGTTTGATATTTCTTCTTTTCCTTGTCATTGGTGTGAAAGCAATGCATTTCATTGGTATGTTTTCATTGATCATATTTAAGGATGCCTCCGCCTCCAAGAGCAAGAACTGCCCTACAGGCTATGAAGAGCATTGGATTTTCCAGTAAAGAGGCTGCACCTATATTGAGGAAGCTCCTTGAGGTTTACGAGAACAACTGGGAGTACATTGAAGATAATGATTATCAAGTTCTAATTGATAGCATACTTGAGGCGCAGGAAGCAAAGGTAAATGTGTCTATATTGTTGTTAGTAATATTGCACATGATTGTTAAAAGAATTGTTGTTAATTCTCTTTCTTGTCAATTCATTTTCTTGATGCCAAATCTATAACAAATAAGCTTACTTGACTATGGTACTGGACATTTAATATTCAAACAATTGTATCAGGCTTCTACTACAAAACAAAATGCTGTGGCTGGTGATGATCCTGAGCATTCTAGAAAGAGAATAAGAAAGCTAAGTGAAAACCCTTCGACATCAACACTTGCTACTGATTGTTCTGGAGAGACTCTGCTGAAGAAACCAAAGCTAGAAGCTGATGTTTCTCCTGAAGAGCAACTTGGCGGAATCATTGCAGATCCTGTTCGATTGCAGGTTGATGATACAGGGAGAATTGATGTTGCATCATCACAGTTTGGTAATAGACAGAAAATGACTGAACCCACTTCAGCTGAACCTTCTTTTAGTTCTAAAAAAGCTGAGCAAAATTTGTCTCCAGTCAACCGTAGAGAAACTAGAGCTTCTTCTCGTGCACAAAAAACTAGTTCTCTGGAAGAAAATGCTGAACATTTGATGCCCGGCAGAGATAAAACGTCTGCTAGTGGGAGGTCAAGGAATTCGATCTATCTTAAAGAGCCCAAAACTGAACCAGGTACTAAGTTGCTAAATAAATTCCAAGGCTACTTCTCTAAACATGTCCAAAGCCAAGAAAACTAATAATGACCTACAGGAATCTGGGGTTCCTATTGCCATGCTCCCACCTAATGATCCAATTCCCACTGAGTACTGAACATGAATGTATAGCTATATTATCGGGCACTAGTAGCCTGTTACCGTAATTTGTAGTATGTTGTTTTAAAAGGCGAATGCATGCAGACTGACATGCAATGTAATTTTGTAGACCACGTAATTTTTAGCGTAACATAAGATATGCCAGTGTTTTGCTACATGTTCAATTATATATAAGAGCCAATATTTCACACATGTGATACTGCTTATATTAACTTCTGATTAGTACGATTATGGAGCAACTACAGTTTTGAAAGAATGAGATTAATTAGGATTAACTAACCTGATCAACATTCTGACATTTTTAGGGCCTTGTAATTTTTAAAGCTCCCTTCAGAGATTCATTTCTAGAAAAACCTATCACAACAGATGAACTGACGCAGTGACTTGAAGTTTATTTATGTATAACATATAGTTAAGTAGGTGTAATATGTTTTTGCTTATGTTAAGATTCAGCCTTTAACTTAATATGGTTTTTGTTTGCAATTTATTGATTTGGAATGATCATTGTTCCATAAATCTTTCTGTCATGTTCTCCTGTCGCTGATTGTAGTGTGTTGGTACATAGATGATGAATATCAACAAAGTCAAGTTCAAGCAAATGTTGCTGAAGCCTTAGCAGCTCAGAGAACTCAGGCCACAGACAAGGGGAAAAGGAAAGATAGCAGCTCGTCTGGAGTCAGATTAGAGAATGGAAACACATCTCATGATGCATCTCCTTCTACTATTGATATAGCTTCCTCATATACGGGGGCGGTGAAACTTCAGTTTAGCTTTAAGACTGATCATCCTGATTTCAGCGCCCCGAGTGTTGATACCGTCTTAAAAATGGTAGAGGAAAAATGTTTGCAATGCCACAAAATTTCAGAACCTGATTTCTCGCTGCTAAAACTCATGAAAGAAGTGTGTCAATTTGCTTCAGAGTTGACTAACCCGAGCAATGGTAGGCAGTATAATGTTTTTATTTTATTTCAGTCTTTCCAGTGCTATCTGTTCCAGTGAATATTTAATGCATTTTATCTAGTCTTCTTAGATACATTATCTATTATTTATTGTCAATATATCATGAATTTGAAGTTTTTGTACAACATTGTGATTTCAGGAGATGAGGTGGGAAGGGGCTAAAAGGCTTTTATATGCACTTCTTTTAACCAGTCCTTTCTAGAATGGAAGTATGGGTTTGACATATTGGATGATTGTATGCTGGATGAGAAGGAAGATGATCAGTTATTTTCAGGCATCAGCTTTTTCCAAAGGAAGTTCACTCGAGAGCAATTAAGTAGATCTATTCATGCAGGTGAGATCCACATCTTTCTCATTTATTTTGTTGCTTTCATTTCTTGTGTCTGACTTTGAAATCTGCTTTATATCTGGTATTTATCTGTGTAGCAGATTCTTATTTCGTGATATTTTATATCGCTTTGGCTTTTTGTTGTGATTTATATAGTTGTATATATAACTAGTCAAATGTCTGTTTAGTATGTTGCTTGTATTCTTTATATCCTCTTAAATTTGCATTTAAATATGCCTCAATGTTGAGATTTGCACGCATTTGGGAAAAAAAAGTTGGGATTTTCACCTAAATACCACGCAATTTTGTGGTATTTTAAAAATGGTTTCTGATAAATTATCTTCCAAGTCTTTCTATTGGAAGAGTGAGGGAGGTTTAATCATCTTAACAAAAATGAAAGAGTATTCCAATTTGGTTCCCTCACAGAGACGACTACAATAATCGGCCTGCGTATTTTACTTATTTTCCTTTTGTTGGGGTGGGTGTGGGGGGCGGGTGTTGAGCGGTTGGGGTGGGGTTGTGGAGTAGACAAATATATATGAAGATCGGAAGGGCAATTTTAGAGGGTATATATTGATTTAAAAAAAATCCTTTAGCATTCTTCTGATGCATGCCTTTTTCTCCTACAATAAAATCCTCGCTGCGCCCCTGTGGGAAACCATTTTTGAATAGTTTTCTACTGAAGAAAACTGATACATTTTTTTTACATTAATTTCGATTTCGATTCATTCTCTTTGAAGAAGGCTCTAATTAACCTTTCACTGTCAGGTGCGAAACATGGGGAACTCCCTTAAAACTCCACAAGCTATCTCTGTAGGAGGGCGAACTATCCGCCAGAGAGAAATTTAATCATATTTTTGTCTGACACTCCATCTTTTGTGGTGAAACTATATAAGGAGGTTATCCATAATTCCAATTGATCTGCCTCGCTTCATTTCTTCTCACGTGTTGATGTTGGATGATCGGTAATAATAGATTGAAAAACTCTATTTTCTTGTAGTGTAAATTTTTCTCTTAATGGAATGCTGCAAATCAATGTAGATGGCCTTTTTTGCCATGTTAAAGAAAAGTCGATATGTTTTTTGTGGGTAAATTGCAGATAATATCGACCCGTTTATTAGCACTCAACACTTGATTTTTCATTTTTGGAAAGATAAGTTGTATGCAGCATCCCTCTTCCTCATGAATTAAGGGGGCTAAGTGCTAATAAATTGTTTAATTTGAGTTTATTACCAATTATTTGTGTTTACTCAACTGATTGTTTTTGGAGTAGAAAGAATCTAAAGTATGAAGAAGAGAAAATAATATGAAGAGAAAATAAAGCAGACAGAATCTATTTGCGATTTGTTCAATATCTATATTTGTTTGTATTTATATCTCTTGAATTCTTCATGCTTTTCATTGTGTTGCCCTTTTACTACTCTTGTGAATGTATGCTGACAAAATAAATTAGGGAGTTGACCTGTACCTACACGCATATATTTTGAAATAATATGCGTCTTTTTCATGAATCTGGTACTGAGCTTAATAAAAGTCTTAGCAAAAGCAGTTTCAGGACTCTAGTATGGTAAAAAATTGAAAATTTCTTAGATCCCTGTTCCTTTTATCATCTACTCCTCTATACTTAAAAGGAGAATCCGAAGAGTCATTGTTTACGCTACAATAAATACTATAGCAAATATTGTATCGTAAATAGTAAACCAAATCTGGCCCTTTACATTTGAAATTACTGTTCATACTACATTAATTTACTGTAGCATAAACAATAAAATCAAATATGTTCCTCATACTTGAAGTTACTATTTATACTTCAGTATTTTACTGTATCATAAATAGTAAAACAAATCAAATGTATTAAAGCTTGGATTATTCTTTAAGTATATAGAGGAGTATATATGATTTCTAATTTTAAGTATACAATAATTAAATCAAATGTATTAAAACTTAGAGAGGCAAGTTCAAATGCATTGCTTAAAAAATAAGGGGCCGTGTTTTGTACCGGGTGCACACTAAATACTTTTATTCCCGAAAAGAGAAAAGGCCATTAAGTACCTCAAATGCTGGTTGAACTCAAACCCGCTGGATACTCACCAGGAGCATTTTATTTTGGGTGGCACTAGGAGCATATCCCCAACCACAATCTCAACCACACCCCCTCTCTCATTTGCTACAGTGCATCAGGGCCCATATGAGATTTTAAAATTTTAAAATCTCATATGGGTCACGATGCACTGTAGCAAATGAGAGAGGGGGATGGTTGAGGTTATGGTTGGGGATGTGCCCCTATCATTTTCTTTTTATTTTGAACCAAATTTAGCAGGGAATAAAACACAACAATGGTTATATTACTATTATTTTTAATTTTATTTATGTTTATTTCAGAAACCCCCTAAACTAATCACTGGTAACAAGTCTCAAGTTTGTAATTCATTAATGCACCACTTAAGTTTTTACTTCTAGAGGTCTCCGCGCACACTATATGAACGATACTAATTACCAATTTTAAGGACTTTTGTGACCCTTAGGATTGTTGCATAGATCATACATATTATAGGGAGTACCATAAAAGAAAAGGGTATTTTGGTCTATAGATATTTATTTTCCATCCAGACTTTCGGAAAATTTATTACTATAGCTATTTAGTGACACATTATGAAATTCGAGTATGATCCTGATTCTAGTGATTAATGTAGGTTATTTTTTCCTTCTGAAATATACCCCAAAATGAAAACATGAGACTAATGTTTTTTTTTAATTTAAATTTTTTGGAATTGTATTCTAGATCAATGACCAACAATTTCCTTGCTCTATAGATAGCAAGTAATGCGATTATATGTGAGCATAGTTCGGTTCTAACGGATTGAATTGACCGAAATTTGACAGTTCGGTTCGGTTTTTATTAGAGTTCGGTTTGGATCGAGTTGGAGTTTTTTCAACCCAGACCATCCGAACCGACCGAATTGTATTACTCATTTTAATTACTATCGGTATTTGCTTAAACCCAACCGATCATAATCAATATAGAGTTGCTTCGCTGTAGCTTGATATCTTTTTCTTTCACATGACCTGATAGTGATGGAAATACCCCAACAATGGTGTCATCTTCTATTCTAGGGCTTTTCATCATCTCTAGTTTTTAACCTTTCTCTATTATTTATTCGCTTCTGCTATTTTGGACCAATCCACTTTGGAGGTAAGAAACTAAAATCATAATGTTGATTCTAACATTTCGTTGATCTTTCTCATCGATTGATACACATAATGCAAGAGAATCTTTGGATCAAACTTATAATTTTATAGAAACTATACTCAACATCCAAATTATTACCTAATTTTTTATTTACTTTGTCTATCAGATTGAGATCACTTTAATTTTTTATGTAAGCTTTCTTTAAAAAAAAATTCTGTAAGCTTTGGCAGGAATAAGATTTTGATTACATCTAATATTCAATAACATTTGATAGTTCATAAATTTTAATAAATTGAAGTGTAAGGAGCTTCTTTCTTCGTGAATAGATTAGAGGTGAAACTAGATTTAAAAATAACATTTATACCCAAGTGAAAACTAAATAAGCAGACCCGAACCGAACCGAACCGTCTTGAATAGGTTCGGTGCGGTTCGCTTCGGTTTGGCTAAATGCGATGCTCATGAGTCATGACTCAGTCCGTTGTTAATTGTTCCTCAGGAACACCAGAATTAAACCTATCCTATTCCAACGGCTAAAGCAACCATTGTTTAACATCCATTCGATCATAAGTGCATGGGCAAGAAAAAATCTAACGTCTTTCCAAGTGATGGACCAGTTTTACTAAAACCCATTCCCCTGTACACCACACCAGCGTCACTTTACACTCTCCCTCTCCTTGAAATCCGAAGGGGGAAAAATGTAAGAAAAAGAGAGAGAAGAAGCGACGATAAAAAATCCAAACCCTAAACCTGAGAATTTGCCTTGTCTTTCGAAAATCGATCGTTGGCGCTTCGTTCGATTGGGCTTAACTAGGTATTTCTCTTATCTTTTTAAAATTTTATCGTTATATAGGTATTTAGGCATCCATGGAGGTTTTTTTTTTCCTGTAATTTTTAAATATTTTTTCGGAGTTATGAAAAATATGAGTTTTCCCCCGCATTGCATATCAGATCAAGATAATGCAGTTGAAACCCTACATTTATCTGATTTGTTAGTTTTTTTTATAATTATTTGGGTATTTTGGCTGTGTTTTTTTGTTATATTTTTCAGAGTTTTAAGCAAAATATGATATTTTTCAGGGTTTTAATTTCCTGCCATTTTACTTGCGCAACGTAGCTGCTGATCCCATTTTCCTTTTTTTTTCTCTGAGCTGTTTTTATGAATTTTGTTTTGTTAGAAATTTATAGTTAGGGTTGGGGCCAACAGTTAGTTTAAATGCATTTCCTTATTGTTTCCTAGAATGAGAAATAATTTTTTCCCGATTTCGGAGGTAATATCTCTTTCTATATATCTACATTTCTCTGATTAATTAACTTTTTATAATTATCTGGGAGTTGAGGCCTCTAGGAAGGTACTTGGCTTGTTTTTCTTATTTATTTTGCGGAGTTTAAGTAAGATATGATATCTTTCAGGTTTTTAATTTTCCTGCGATTTTTCTTAGCTTCTGTCCTCATTTTTTTTCCTGAGCTGTTTTGATGCATTCCATTCTTCTCAAAATTATACTTAGGTTTCGGGCCAACAGTTAGTTTACGTGCATTTCCTTATTGTTTCCTGAAGTGATAATATTTCTTCATGAGTTTGAGATCATGTGTCTGGGTTAAGAGGCATTTTTTGTTGAAACATTTGTTGTGGGTTTTTCTTGGTACTGTACGATGACCATAATTGATGTTTGCACCTCTTTCATGCATGGCTTAAACTATACTACATCGAAGAATGCAAATTAGTTCTCATGCATATCAAAATAATGCTGTTGAAACCTTCATTTTTTGAGCTTGAGGTGTCTCTGAGCTCAAGTGAGGAATTTTCCAGTCCGTCGATCTCTGGTCCGATTCTTTTTGCTCGATTTTGAAGGCAATGTCTCTTTATATATATCTACATTTCTCTGATTTATTACCTTTTCATGATTATGTGGGATTAGGCGTCTACGGAGGTATTAGGCTGTGTTTTTCTTTTTTATTTTTAGGAGTTTAAGCAAAATATGATATTTTCAGGGTTTTAATTTTCCTGCATTTTACTTAGCTACTGGTTCTCTTTCCTCTCTTTTTCCCTTAGTTATTTTGATGCATTTCATATTTTAGAAATTTATGGTTAGGTTTGGGGCTGAGCCAACAGTTGTTCACATGCATTTCCTTTTTGTTTCCTGAAAGGATAATATTTGTCCATAAGTTTGAGATCATGTGTCTACCTTGAGAGGTGTTTCTGTTGAGTTTGATGTGTGATTTTTCTTGGTTATACCGTTATAGTGTACGATAACCATAATTGAGTTGATATATGCACTTTTTATGCATGGTTTAGACTGTTCTACATAAAAAAAAGCAAAGTAATTCTCACACACATCAAAATAATTTGTTGGAATTCACATGATGGTGGGTTTCTTTGGTACAAACTTGTACAAGGTTGCTATGTTTCTTTTATCTATTATTGCCACTTCTTTTTTCCTTCTTTTTTATGATGTTTCTTGGCTGGTAGGTTTTTATTCGGTGGATTCAAGGATGGCTCCTCCTCCAAGAGCAAGATCTGCCTTACAAGCCATGAAGAACCTAGGTTTCTCCAGTAAAGTGGCAGCCCCTCTCTTAAAAAGCCATGAAGAACCTAGGTTTCTCCAGTAAAGTGGCAGCCCCTCTCTTAAAGAAGCTTCTTGAAGTGTATGACAACAACTGGCAGCTCATTGAAGACAATGGTTATCAAGTTCTGATAGATAGCATACTCGAAGAGCAGGAGCTAAAGGTAAAATTTCAGACATTTTTCTGGTGTAAAATTGGAGTTGAAAAGCTTCACTGTATATTGTCATTACTTTCAAAAAAGTTCTTTTAGTCATTTGTGATGTATGCACGTTAAGTGTGATGAATTGAAAACTGAATATAATTATTGCTCATTAGTAAGTTACAGTGTAACAGTTGTTGGACCATTCTATTTTTAGGGCATATTTGATGTATGTATGAAGTATTTCTTACATAATAGAAATTAGTTGTCATTGATACAACTTAATGAGAGCTTAATCAAAGTTTTCCCACAAAAAAATCAACAATAAAACAATGGATCATTAGTTTCTCATTTGGTATTAAGTACAGGAAAATGTGAAGTATGTAACCCAGATTGCACATTAGCTGCGCAATTAGGTTTGAGCTCATAACTCAAATTTGTAACAATTTAAGGTTCAATTGTAAATCATTTCGGTGTTTAATGTTTGATTAATTTTGTTAGGCTACTGCTGGTAAAAAGCAAGATGCCGTGGCTGATGAGGATGCTGAGGTCAGTAGGAAGAGGCTAAGACAGCAGAGTGAAAATACAGCTTCATCATTAATGCTTGGCCCTGATAGTCCTTCATCAAAGAAATTAAGGGTAGAAGCTGATTGTTCCCTGGGAGCACTGCTTAGGCAGAGAAGAGCAGAGCCTGTATTGCCACAGGTTGAGGATATGGGGAGATTAGTGCTTGCTTCACCACAGGAGGAAAGAGATGAGCATGATACACCTTTAATAAGCCGTAGAGAAACTAGAGCTTCAGCTCATGCACGGAGAGCTAGTTTTGCACAAGAGAATGTAGAGTCAATTTCACTTTTGACATACGGCAGATGTGAGAAGACTATTGGTGAGGCGTCAAGCAGTGTGATCATGTTGAAAGAGCCCAAGATAGAACCGGGTACTGAAGTGCTGGACAATTCTAATGTTCATTCTCCCTCTACTTCCAAAAGTAAACAAGCTGACTCAGACCCGCCAGAGTTCGAAGTTCCCATTGCCATGATCCTTCCTGACCATCCACTTGCTGCTGGAAATGAAGGTAAATATATCTTTGCCATGGGGGTACTATTGACCTATTAAGTATAATGTAATTTGACAAGTTAGAGGATGCATATAGACAGAAATTTAATTTTCTAGGCTAGCAGATTTTTTGCATGTAAGCTTTTCTTCTGCAAGTTCAATTGAAGATAAGAAGAGTACTTCTTTTATGCTTTACTATTTATGTATTTTTCTTCTGATTAGACGATAACGAAATGACCACAATTTTAAAGCATTCCCAAGTGAGATCGAAAAAAGATAAAGGAAGTTCACCACATTGACATAAGGCCTTCTAAAATTTTGTAGGCCAGT